AGAGTTCTTTGAGACCCTTACTGCATTTTATAAAATCAGACCCCAAAATCAAATAGGATTTCAGTAAGTTTGGACTGTGAAGAAAGCTGAGTGCCAAAGAATTGATGCTTTTGAACTGTGGTGTTGGAGAAGACTCTTGAGAGTCCCTTGGACCGCAAGGAGATCCAACCAGTCCATCCTAAAGGAGATCAGTCCTGGGTGTTCATTGGAAGGACTGATGTTGAAGCTGAAACTCCAATAATTTGGCCACCTCATGCAAAGAGTTGACTAATTGGAAAAGAACCTGATGCTGGGAGGGACTGGGGGCAGGAGGAGAAGGGGGTGACAGAGGATGAGATGGCTGGATAGCATCACCGACTCGATGGGCATGAGTTTGAGTAAGCTCTGGGAGTTGGTGATGGACAGGGAGGCCTGGCGTGCTGCAATTCATGGAGTCGCAAAGAGTCGGACACGACTGAGCGGCTGAACTGAACTGAACTGATAAGTAAGTCAGGGTATCTCAACTCTGAACCATAAACAAAAGATCTATTAGAAACACTATATTTGCCCAATATACCACAATTGTTCCAATAATTCTGGAATCTTCTCTTAAACTACAGAACTAAGTCTAACGTGGGTTCACTACATTATATAAAAATATATTCAAGTGGATGAAAAGCCTCTCATTTACTCATAAAATGCCTTTTAAAAGTTCTACCATTTTCTCACTGATAGGCTAGACTTTCCTGGCATGGAGATGGGTTGTGAGTGACATTGACCTATTTGTGAATGCAGCCATTTGAAATATCCAGTCAGATGTAGATCAGTTTTGTTAGCTGAGGCTTGAGGTTTGAATCAAAATTCATCCAGACCTTAGCATATTTCCATATGCTCCACTGATAACTGAAGGGAGGGACAGGTCTTGATTTAATCTAGCGCCGAGCAAACGACAGCCACTGTCACACGGCCTTATGCTTGTGCTCTGTAGTTATTACATTTTTAAAAAAGAATCAGAATTTATCTTATTGATGCCATAAGTGCTTATATCAAATCAAACCTTTAAGAAAAATGAAAATATTTTTAACAGAATTAGACAGAGACCAGCGAAATCAGGAAGTTTAGCAAAGTTTAAAATCTTTCCTTTGTTTTTAAGTTTAAAAAACTTTTCTCGTGGGTATGTATGAGTGTGTGTGTATGTGTTTAAAGCATTACACACGTGACTGATCTGAGTGACATCCTAAGGCAAGAGAGCTACCAGGATCTTTGCATCTAAAAATCTAACTTAATCCTCACAAACTCTGTGAAATAGATATTAACCCTAGTTTGCAGACTGGAGGTTCAAAGAAGTTACATATTCTGTCAGCTAAGGACTGGCTAACTGGATGCGTGCACTATCTACTGTAAGGGCAGGATAGTTGAACACAGTCTTTCCCAGACTCCCTTGCTACTAAATGTGGATATGATTTAACCTCTATTTGAATATTTGAATAGTGGAAGTGAAACAAAAGCTATGCTTCTGCTGTTTGTGATGGCAAGCAGGATTGCAAAGTTCTGCTTTGGCAGCATCTTGGTTTCCAGTTGCTAGCTTCCAGGGCACTAAGAAAGTTGTCACAGGGCCTTCATCTTTTGTATGTACAGATTTAGCAGGCACGTCATGGCTCTGGAGCCAGTAATTGCAGTAAGGCAGCTCCTTGTCCCTAAAGGGCAGATATGGTGCTGTGTTCCTGAAGTCAACAGTTCTTTAGCTTCCTGCCTCCGCATCTTCTTGGACAACAACTGCCCTGGCATTCCAGTTCTGCATGTGACTTAGACTATTCTCCTGGAACACAGCACAGGCGCTGTTCCTCTGCCCTTCCAACTTTTCCTGTATGGATTCTTCTCTGCTTGAAATTCTGTTTCTGCTTTACTTTGTTGAACATTGACTAATTAATATGTTAAGTAACTTGCTTAGTCAGCCGAGAAGTACAGATTCAGTGCATGCCTGTCAAATCCCAGAGCTCACACTCCCTTTGATGGAACATTATGGAGTGAGATTCCTTTTGTGTGTGATAAATGCAGATACCCAAGGGGTGTGGGGTGGGGACACCAAGTTGGCTAAGCTGTTAGGCCCGCAGGTATTGGTTCTTTGGCTTGTACTCTACCCTATTCTGTGCACCTCCTCCCCGTTCACTAAGCTAGAACAATTTTCATTTGTTTCCGACTTTTTGCAACCCTATGGACTATATAACCCACCGGACTCCTCTGTCTATGGGATCCTCTAGGCAGGAATACTGGGGTGGGTAGCCATTCCCTTCTTCAGGGGATCTTCCTGACCCAGAAATCGAATTGCAGACAGATTTTTCATCAAGAAAGCATGAAGAAGCCAATTATTGACTTTTCAGTCACTAAAGTCTAAGCCCCAAGATCCCAGACACTAATAAAACTTCCCCAGATTGGAAGAGGCAGATAAGCAAAGAGTAATGACACATTGAATATCTGAGAAGGTCCCGACCTCTGTCCCTGCCACCCCCTAATTCTCAGACCGAGTCCTGGATACTGTACTGAAAGCTTGCTTATAGGGGCTCCATGTCATTGGGGAATCCTGGAATGGAGGGATTCTTGTGCTTTTTCCAGGGGAGAGTATGGGGAGGCCCCGGGGGCTCCCTGCACCCAGTGAGGCTCAGAAGCAAATGATATAGCTACGGGGTCTCCCTGGAGAACCAGGCCTTCCAGGTGACCCTGTGGGGCTGGCCAGGAAGGAGGGGTGTGGTCAGGACACCAGGACAGTGGCTCAGAGGCCTTTCCCACCAGGACAGTGGCTCAGAGGCCTTTCCCACTAGTGACTGAAGGCCGGAAAGAACATTCTCCCACGGATGCTGGACTGAGTCCCACCTCTGGGCCCACTCCCTCCATGTGCACGCGCGTGTGCTGAGTGGCTCCAGTTGTGTCTGACTCTGTGCGACCCTGTGGACTGCAGCCTGCCAGGCTCCTCTGTCCATGGGATTCTCCAGGAAAGAACACTGGAGTGGGTTGCCAGACCCAGGAACTGAACCTGTGGCTCTTATACCTCCTGCGTTGGTAGGCAGGTTCTTTACCACTAGCACCACCTGGGAAGCCCAATCCCTCCACAATGCTATGTGATTCTGGAATTCAGAGGAAACCTCAGAAAAATTCAGTAGAATCATTCTAAGTTAATGAAATGAGGTTTCCACCAGGGCTCAAAATTGGATTAAACCCAGTTACATAAAAGAAGAAATATTTTTCTTGCATGCATACCCTGAGTGCTGGGCTCTCTCACTGCACAACTCCCAATTAATTCTGATGCTGGACTCAACTCTTTTAAAATTAAGCTCAAGGAGAGTTACTGCTCTAGAACAGGGGTCAGCAAATTACAGCTAGGCCCAGGAGCCAGATTCGGCCCACTACCTGTTTTTTATTTTCCTGCCTATTTTTGTAGGCTAAGTAAAGCGACTCTTCCATAGCTGAGTTGCCGAGTGGTGTAATTGCAATAAAGACCGCTACAGTGCAAAGCCTACAGTATTTGCTATTCATCTCTATACAGAAAAAAAAATTACCAACCCCTGATAGAGAACATGGGCCCTGCCTGGCTCTGTCTCTTTTCCTGTCTTGCACTTCGTCCTTTTGCTGTCATCATGGGGGCAAAGTCTCATATCAAAATCAATGGAAAAGCTCTGCCCTTCTCTGCTCTTACAAACGTATCCAGGTTCAGATCCAGCTTGTCCTCCCTGAACTGCCCTGAGAATCAGTCCTCCTTAGACCAGACTTCTGCACCCTTGTCTAACCCTGCACTTGCCTACCAGGCTCCCAGCTCTGACTTTTCTTCTGTATCCTTTGTGGGCTTCTCACTCCATCTGCCTTTGGAGTTGCTGTTTCTTATAGTTGTCCACAGCACTCTGGTGTTCCTCTGTGTTAGATGCTATGAGGTGTGGCAAAGCTGAAAAAGACATAATCTACGTCTTCAAAGAATTTATATGTTCTTTTTATCCATTTGGACTTGACTCTCCACAAAAAGGATAGAAGCATTTTGAAGGTCACAAAAGAATCTTTAAAATTTTCTTTATAGATCTGTCTTAATTTTTTAATTTGGGGTATAAATACTGTTTTGGGGGGAAAAAAATCTCATGAAGTCACACCAAGTTTTAGACAACCTGATCATCTGAACTTTCAAAAGTTTGAAATGTCCTCGACCATTCTTCTGTAACTGGGTCCTCTGTTTAATTTTGCGGCAATCACTGGCATCTGGAAACACTAAATTGGCATAGCATTCAACAGATTCTACTCAAGGGATAGTTCTTAATCAGCTTTTGATGACTTAGAAGCTAACATGGTAGCATCCTATAAATACTTATTGAATGAACAAATTAAAAAATAAATAGGTGAACCTACTAGTCCACTACATTCTTCCTCTGAAATTATACAAACTTATCATTTGTGCCCTCATTAGGAGAAGATCACATAGGGGTTCATACGGAGTCATTTTCATGTTTAATATGTTGTATTTTATCTATCCTATATAGATTGCAATTTTATTGATTCCCCTATAGCACTGCTATGTCCCTGCTAAGTGAAATATTTGTTGAATATCAGCTATTCCTTTTTGTTTCCTTCTGTTTGCCTTCCTCTGTCTCTTTCTCAATTAACTAGAGTACATGAAAATGTATTTTTAAATATTTACTGAATAAAGTCTTATTCTCCTTGACCTTAATTTTAAGACAGAGGAGTTCAGCAATGTATCCTCCTTAAAAAGACAATAAAAACAAACAAAACCCACAATCATAAATTCCTTCTAACTATATGTGAGGTTGTGAATAGGGAAAAGGTTTCTTATATCCAAGCTAAATACTCTAATAAGTAGAAACCTATGACATCCCAATGAAGGTGAGGAGATAAGAAGAGGGAGAAGCAGACGAAGAGAAATGGGAAGTTATTTGGGAAAAGGAAAGAATCCAGTTTGAGGGATTTCAACAACAAATATAAAAAAACCTTAGTAAGGAGAAAACTGCCAACCAAAAGATGTTTACCTTTGCATCCCTCACAGGTCAGGGCGTTATAGTGATATCCAGAAGCCCTGTCTCCGCAAACGACACATAGCTCATCCCCTTTGATTCTCCCTGCTGAGGCTCCCAGTCGGGTCTTCTTTGTTACAGGCATCTCCACCACCTCAGTCTCTCCCTGATAGAGAGTCTCAGCAGGCATTCGCCTGAGTTCATATATTCCAGGAGAGTACCACTCTTCAGGCTGTTGGGGATAGAAACCCACATTGGAGTAATAGGAAGAAGAGGAAATCTGTGGCTGAACTTGGGGAAACTGAACGTTGTTGTATTGTGAGTACGGCTCCACTTCTAGATTCTGTCCCAGAGGACCTGCCACTTGTTCTGTCAGTACACCTGAAAAAAAGTGACAACAAAACTGGAATTGATATCATCATTCTAAAAATAAGAGGCAGTTTAGCATATGGTTAGGAGTACAGGCTCTAAGGAAAGACTGAAATATTTAAATATTTACATTAAAATTTTAACATAAAAATTAACTTTTTTACAGTAAAAAAAAAAACACTAAAAGATTAAATGACAAAATTAAAAGCTCAGAAAGATATTTGCAACATAGAGGATAGACAAAACACTCGTGTCATTAATATATAAAGAGCTTTTGCAAATCAATAAGAAAATATTCAACATGGAAAAAAGGAAAACATACAAGGATGCTTAAAAGAAAAACAAAAAGGAGAGTTGGAAAACATTCAACAATTCACAGTAAAAAAGGTAACAGGTAAACATACAAATGCTGTCTTTTCTCATTTCTGTCTCATGAAATCCTATGAAGTGGGTAATAGTATTACCCTCACTTACAATTGAGTATTCCAAGGTCGAGAATAGTTCAGCAACTTTACTCCTACACACCTAAGTAGCTGAGATTTGAACTTTGAGTCTGACTTCAAAGCCCATGTGCTGAATTGCTCCTCTCTGGGATGATTTCAAATGTGTGATGCTTTAAAGAATGATAATAAAGATTTTCTCTTCCTTCTTTTATACTTGAGTTTACTAGTCCCTTCAGTGCCTCCATTTGCAGGTAACCTATAACCAGGCCTGCAAGACTATGAATGATCCTACTATTTCTTTCTTTCCCAGCCACTTCCCATGTTCTGACTGTATTCCATGAATGTGCCTTGCACTTCCAGACTCAAAACCTCTCCCACATGCTGCTTCCTGAGCCTGGAACCATCCTCCACACAGCTACCCCCTCCAAGAGCATCATCTCACTATTCTCCACTTATCTTTAAATTTCCCATTAAGTATATCTTCTCTTGGGACGTATTTCTTGACCCTGGGTTCTGAACCTAGTTATATGTACTTACCTACCCTGCCTAAGCCTCCCTTATCTGTAAAGAGAAGACTCCATGCTTTATAATATTATAGTTCTTCTTTATATCAAAAACCTCTATAAGTTTATGACCAACAGTTTATGGGCATTACAATTAACAGCCATTCCACAATGACAAAGTGGAAAATATGTATGTTAAACATTAGTTGAGAAAAAAAAAAGCTTTCTGCATTGATCCAGTAAATGATTAATGGAACACAAAGTGTACAGTATCTGTGTGAAATCAATTTTGTTTCTTTCATGCCCAACTCATCTATATAAAACTAGCACTGAGTCAGTATATCTGACAGTCAAACAGTTTTGGCAATGGTGCTTTGTCTTATGACCACAAAATGGAAGAATATAAAAATATGGAATTATTACAGAAAAAAGATAAAACATAAGCAAAATTTTGATCTATTTAGTAGTTAAATATGATTAAAATTCCTGGAGTGAATACAACTGAAAATAGTTAAAAGCATTAAAATCATTAGTTTCACCTAGATTTATCCTCCAACCCATCTTATCAACTCCCCATTCCCACCCCCAGCCCCAGATTCTCTCCATCTACAGGTCCACTAAGGTTAAGCAACTTGCCTGAAGTCACATAATCAATTAAAGACAGAAAGTTGATTCTCTAGAATACAGAGAAATGTATAGTTGTTTTCTCTTCAAAATTCCAAGATCTCTGAGCATTCTTTCAATAAATCTTTTACAAATCAAGACACACCATGGAGTTCCAACTCAAGTCAAATCATGTTATCAGTATGATATCAATCTCTGGGATCATTTCAAATTAAAATGGAAAGCTTTTATAAAGATATCAATTCTACTATATGAAATTAATAAACAGGGTGAGATTATGATAGCAGCACACACAGCATTATTAAATAACACCTTTATTCCCAAAGCACATCCACTTCTAGTATTTCATAGTGTTTCCACCAAATCCCCACAGAGTAGAGACAATAAATATGCAGGCAACTTACAATTAAAAAAAAAAATCCAGCATGAACACCATGCTCCAAAATAGTGGAACAAGAAGAGCTTCCATGAACTGACTATAAGATCTTAAACAACTGCCTAACATTTTTCTGTTTTCTCCTGTAAAATGAGGCTACTAACAACCAGCCTTCCTATCTCATAAGGTAGTTTTGAGTATAAGATACAGTTTCTGAGAAAAAGTTTTGGTAAGTTAAACACCATAAAAAGGCATGTTTATTTCCTAAAGAATCCAGCAAAATCTTGATTCTAATGACAGTTAATTGATAGTTAACTAGTAAATATTAATACACATTAATCTGTTTTGATATGTTAGCTATCATTTAAATAAGATATATATATACACATTATACATATATATATACATATATTCTAATGACAGTTAATTGATAGTTAATTAGTAAAAATTAATACAGATTAATCTGTTTTGATATGCTAGCTATCTTTTAAATAAGATATATATGTGTGTATATACATATATATACATACATACATATATGTACGTGTGTGTGTGTGTGTGTGTGTGTGTGTGTATCTTACAATTTGCTAAACACAGAACTAGGCTCTGAGAATAAAACAGTGAACAAGACAAAAAAGAGATAGGAGAGGCCCCAGACTTTCTCTTGTTCATGTGCTCGGGGTTGAAGGTATGTCAAGGGCTGGGATAAAACCAAATAAACGAATACAGAATTTTCTGACACAGCATAAGATGTTGAGAGGGCAAATGTAGGTCAACTTTAGAGTTTACTTTCTGAAAAGGTAAATATATTTCAGCTTTAATACAATTTATGAATGATTTCTTAAGAATCAGTTTATCAAGAAATAGGAGAATTTGGATTTCTTTATAATAGGAAATTTTCTGTGGGAGTTTAGGGAAGAGTTCTTAAATGGGAACACTTGAATGGACTCCAGGAGAGCCTGAGACTCCCCCTATACAAGGAAGAAAATTTTTCTGGGTAGAGAGTCATTTAGTAGCATTTAATAGTTTCTCTAAAGGAGTAGACCAAAGGGGAATTTCTGAGACGGAAGCCCTCTATAGCTTTCAACGTGTTAGCTGCTAACCATGTGGAATAGTGAACATTTGAAACATGGCTAGTGATAATGAGGAAATGAATTTTTCATTTTCTGTAACTTTAAATAATTAAAATTTAAAATAGCCACGTGTAGCTAATGATGGCCATATCCAACAACACAGCTCTAAGGACTTTGTGACCAGAACCACTGGGTACCCAGATGGGAGAATCAGGTTCATGTAAGAAGGATGGTGCTTTTTCTTGAACCTGTAGTTAACTGCTGATGAGCCCAATAAAGGGTTCATATTATATGCAGTTTTTCTCCCTGGCACAATGCTGACTCTGGTAAATGTTTCATGAATGGAAAAACTGCCTTCTTGTCCTTTCTTTGTTTCCTAAGCCATGGTTCCTCAAGTAGATGATACGACTTGGTTTGTGAAATTGTTTGCCGTTTCTGGTGCTGGCCTTTGTGATGTTGGTACCTCTTCCCACCAAGTTTGTCAACCCATTGCCTGCTCTGTGAAGCCTGACCCAGTTTCCCTAGGTAGAATTAATCTCTCCTCCCCTCTGCACACACTGGTACTGCACACTCAGAAGCATGTACCGTTGCTTCTGTTGGTTTACAGGCTCATGTTTCATGCTGTATCATTTAAGGTGGTAGGACATAGGCATTACAAGCACCCTGCCATGCAGACAAATCTGGATTCAGTTTACCTGCAACATGCTAGATGTATGAACTTGGGAAACACTGAACTTCTTTAAGCTTCTGTTCCTTTCTAATAAAGCTGGGATAATCTAATACACTACTATGTAAATGGATTAACTAGTGAGAACCTACTGTATAGCACAGGGAACTCTACTCAATGCTCTATGGTGAACTAAAAAAAAAAAAATTAAGAGAAACACGTATACGTATAGCTGATTCACTTTGCTATACAGCAAAAACAAATACAGCATTGTAAAACAACTGTACGCCAATAAAAATTAATTTTAAAAAGGCTAGGACAATATAGTAATTGAAACAAAACATAGTACCTAGGTGAAAGGTTAAAGATAACCTAAGAAAAAGAATGTAAACTGCCCAGTGCCTGACTAAGCATTAACATTCAATACTTTTTTGCTATTGTTGTGGTTAGTCTGTGGACTTTTGGGGAATACATTAGATTACTATATATTATATTCCCTTTTTTCCTTCATTTGTAGCACCTTACACAGTGCCTGACACAGTTTAAATCTTTAATAAATATTTATTAAATTGAAATGATGGGAAATTTGCTTCTCTGGCCTTCTATCTACTTTCCATTTCTAAATACAGTCGCAGTCATTTTTAAATAACGCATTTAACCAAAATAACATGCTGTGAAGTCTACAATCAGAAATATGTTCAAAATTATAATTATTGTAAAAATGATGAGTTTCCCTAGCTGGAAATTCAAAAGGTAAGATTCTATTTTGAAAAAATATGAAAACAGACAATATTATTTATACTATCTATATTTTAATTATAATCTGTATTTTAGTTCAGAGAAAACAAACATACCAGGTTTAATGCTGAACTCTTTACTCATCTGATTTTCCATTGACTATTGGGGAAACCTGTTGTGAAACTATTTCAATAAATTTTTTGGATCTTTTTTTATTTTTCTCACAACAACCCACAGTTTGAAATAAATCTTATATCATGATCCCTATACACACTTATACATAGGTATAAATAATCTGAAACAAAATTTCCATGAAATAACACTTATCCTTACCCCTGACTGCACTCTGATATTTCTACTGTACTTATTCAATTCTAAATTTTTAATGCTGGTCACAAGTCACAAAATAGATGTCATGACTAGGATCTAAGACTTGCCATTTTAAAAACATTGCATTCAACAATGCACTTTAAGATGTTTTTTCAAGTGTCCAAGGGCATTAATATTTTAGCTGCCTAGTGTTTAACTTGGAAGAGCTGTGCCACTTTGACACCATATCCAGCGAAGAATTGTAGGGAAAACACACTT